ATGTCTGTGTATCGCAAACGACCGACTAGCACCCCCTATTCCAAAGCAGACGACGCAGCTGGTTTGAATCTCATGATATGACATGGATGAAAACGAAAGAGGGACGAAGTTTGTTGAGATGAGGAACTTGAGAAATCAGTTTATATGCTCTCAGTCACAGTGATAAAGGCAATCGTTTGTATCTTTTCCAAAAACTTTGAAAGCGATGGTGACACGGTACTTTATTGTTTATTGTATCAATACATTAGGCCTACATGTAAATGGGACTGATAGTACTGTACTATTTATGGATTTACCGACACTTTCCAAGGGAAATCCCGGCCCCGAAAGGAATACGATGGAGAGGATTATGATCACTTTTGATATCAACTTAAAAGTATAGCTCTTGGTAAGTCATATCTATAGATATTTACATGACATACTTTCATAATAATAGGCCTATTTTAATTCAGCATTAAACTTCACGTTAGTAATTTCAGAGAATGTAATATAGGGACTGTCATTCATTTGATGGGGGTGGGAGGGGGGGGGGCAAATTTTATGGGTGTCAGATTATGTATTTACAGTGAAGGACAGATAATTTATTTTTATTTCCAAGATCACTGGGGGCCTAATTTTTGTCAGATTGTACCTAAGATATTTTTCTATTAAAAAAATTCCACATTTATAATCATTTACGATATTTCGATTCACCTTTAAAGTATTTACATTTTGACTTACAAAAATAATTTTGAGGATAAAACATGTTTGAAAATTAAATTAATTTATCAATAATCAGGTAAATTTTGTGTAAGTTATAATTATTTTTGTTGCTCTGAGTGAGTGTTTCAGTTTGGTAAAATTTACAGTAGCCCTGGGCAAGTTTAAAGGCATTTTTAGTAGTCCAAACTCAATATTCAGTTGTCGCGGGCCAGCGGACTACCCTTAGTGTCGAACCCTGGACAGATTAATTTTGTTTTTCTTCACTGGTAAAAACTGTGTCAGTGTGGTAAACATTGAAACTGTTTACATGTTGTTTGCTGGTCTGATGAAATTGACAAATCTTTATATTACTGCTGCTGTATAGTTAGAATATTGGCCAGGCAGTGGGGCATTTTAATTTAATGTTAGATTTACTGGTTAAAAAGTGATTTGCCAATCAACTAATATAATTAAATTTTGGTTTTGCTGGTATACATGTATATTTATTTGATCTATTTTTTTTTCAGCCATCAAGATGGTACTTTCTGGTATAGGACCACCAACCCATAGCAGACCAGGGGATCTTGATGTCAGCATAATAGTGATAATGGTTAAGTCATCATTTAAATTTTTCTATGCCAGATTTAATAAGTGTAGAAAATTGGCAATTTACATGTATGAGGTGTAAACTTTTGCAAGTTATATATACATGTATGTAATATGTAATGGTTTGGGCCATGGATATATATCGTCCAGGGTAGCTCAGTCTGTATAGCACATGACTAGTGATGCAGGGGTCTCAGGTTTGATTCCCGGTCCATCCATACATTTTCTATTTTCCTGTTACATATACATGTTTTTTCACCGAAATTCTATATATAAGATATAGACATTGTGGGAAATATATTTTGACGTTGACTGCAGATAATATTGTATTTGTTTAATTTTATAAATTACAGATAGATTCATCAGTACAGAGTACAAGGTATGTATATGAATGTGAAGTCCAGACCATTCATGCTGATGATGATTCAACTATACTGCAGCTCGACGGAAGTATGATTTTCTATCCCTTCCAAAAAAGAGCAGGACAAGAATCGCTTGTTGAAAATAAACTAACATAGTTAATAGACTACTTTTCTTTGTCAGCTTTATATTACGGGTACATGTATCTCTTGATTGAGTGTTACATTTAAAGTGGAAACTAATCACTCCACATATAGATTTTTTTTTCCATTTTTCATATTTAATCTACCCTGTTTTATGTCTGGTGTGGTAATAGATCACTCCACATGCAGCCTTTCATGTTTAACATACTATGTTATGCATTGTATATGTCAGTTGCAGTATTACACTGCTGTAGAGTGTAGATTATTCTTTTTTAAAAAAAATGTATGCATAATTTAATGTCGACTTGTGATGTCGGGTTTAGTAATAAGCCAATCAACAGATATTCTCTATTATGCATAATCTACACTGTGAGTGTTTTTCAGGCTTTTTAATAAGCTGCTCCAGATATTCATGTAGAATCTTTTTTTTTTAACTTTTTATATAAAATGTCCTGCATCAAGTGTTATGTCCCAGTGCAGTATTGTCATTTTGTTTTTAATTTTTAGGTATAGTTTATGTAATTTTATGTCTTAGGTCAAGGACGGTTTTAGACTAAGCCCATTTTAAGTTTTTTTTCTCTGTTTAGCGTCCAACCTTCAATCAAAAACCTACCTACATGTATCTATTTGTAAAAAAAAATATGAACCAAAATATAAAACACAGAATGTACGTGTATCATGTCTATAGTTGTAATAATAGTGTAAATCTGAGGATTTTATTTCATCAATCTGCTTTTCTGGTAGAAATATGTATTCTTCAGCAAAATCAAAATAATAAATGCCTAAAGTACACCACCTATGACATGTTTATTGTACATATTTGAGAAATTGACAGAACTCAAAGATTTCAACAAAAATAATCAAGGGTAGGGGTTCTGATTTTGTTTGATTGTCTGATACATGTAGGTGTCAAAAACCAAGGTGCGATTGGATGCCAAACAGAAAAAAAGACTTGGAATGGCCTATTAAATGTTATTATCCTACCTGCTCATGGAATAAAATGACTTTTGATCAATTTGAAAGAGTACTGATCATATTTTTTCAATGATATTCTTATTATTCTATGAAATAGAAATTTGTGAATTTTGCAGTGCTATGTCAGATGGATTTCTTCATTCTGTATGACCAAAATGTATTTTCGGACAAAGTAGAATGCATTTGACATGTTAATAATTAGGGGGATTTTTGACATTGCAATGAAAACAATATGAGATGCATAAAAGGAGGGGATGTATTAGACCATTCTGTAACTTAATAGTTAATTACCTCTTAATGCAGCCGAGATATCTGAGTGAGAAATAGTATTGGACATTTTTGTCATACAATATATTTTTTTAGAAATCTATAAGAAAACACAGAATTTGTTTGCATGAAAGTAATCAAAAGGGATCATGTTGAAGAATTTTTAAATGTGTTTTTTTTAATTATATTTTTGTTTTTTTAATTACATTTTTGTTCAAGTATCTATTGTTGAAATATAAATTCATATTTTAATTTTGTTGAGGAACTTTTTATGGATAATTTCAATATTGGTTTAATTACATGTTTTATTGTGAGGGGAGAGGGGAGGTAACTCTTCAAGTTATTACTCTACATGTACTATTATTTCATAAAAATATTTTCTTTAGCCATTTATTAGCAATTGATTTTTACTTCTGATTTATTTCTTCAGTTGTTTTTCCCTAATTTGCTATGCATTTTTTTTAAATAGCCACTTTAATCGTTATTCTTACCTTTACGACGGGAAACCAAAAGAGGGGGGGGGGATAGTTGTGGACCATCTGGTACCTTAATTAGCCCTCAATGTGACCAAGATTTTTTGAGTGAAGAATAGTATTAGGCAGATCTTTCATATAATGATAAAAAATAAAAATTCTATTGGACAGATTTTTTTTTAGAATTTAAAAAATGTCAAATTTGTGTGCATGAAAACGGCCAAATTAGTCGAATTTCAAATGTTCTACATGGATTATTCTCTTAATTTATATATGTTCAGACAATCCATTGTTAAAATAAGTTAATAGTATCAATATTGTTTAAAAATAATTTTTAATATTGAATGCATATTGCACAATAAATTTTTTATGGGTAATAATTATCTTGTATTATGATTTTTGGAGTGACTGGAAAGGGGAGGTAACTCATTACCCCCTGGTTCCGTAATTTACCCACAATGCCATGTTCATATTTTGACTAAGTGTTCATTAGGCATCCCTTTACACCTTGTGAAAATTTCAACAAAATCTATTGACAGGTTTTTTTGGGGTCAGGTGTCCTTAGCCACCTTAACGCACTTTGAAAAAAAAAATCATGTTTTAGTCATGGAAAGATTTTATTTGTTACTTATCTTTCAAAATACTAAGCCTAACCTCAAAAATGAATTGATTTACTCCCGTCGGAAAGAGGAGACGACGGGTATAAGATCCCTCAGTACAAATCTTTATCTTTCCAATACATTATAGGCGTCGGTAACGAACGGGGGAGGGGAGCAATAAACCTAAAAAGGGTACGCTGCATTTTCAATGCTTATACGATGTATATATTTTTTTCCAAAATAAGTGGGGGGCTTAGCCCCCCATCCCCTCCCCTGGCCCTTCGCCCAGTCTCGATGTCTATGCTTTACTCAAAGCATTCATATAATTATGTATTTACCTAACTGGTATGATGTTGAAAACTTTCAATAATAAAGAAGTTAATTAAAACAGATTAAAACTAGAAGTTTTAAAGTACAGTAAAACGTATGAGAGAGAAAGAATTTTCATAGTTTTGAACAATCAAATTGGCCCCTTTTTATTATGATAAATGCTAAGTTGCTTGAAGCTTTCCTCTGTTAATGCCCCCTATACACCTTTACATCAATTTATCAAAGACTAAAATTTTAAAAAAAGTGAAAAAAAAATTCAAAGTGCGTTGTAACACTGGTCACTCCTTTGCTGAAATTGCAGCGTCTCAAACGTTCTCTGGTTCGAGGAAATATACACAAGAAGCATGTTCTACGCATGTATGATCAATGCAGGTCATAAAACTTCTTACAAAGAACGAATCTCGAAACACCTTAATCAGGGACACCAACGCCAAGGGTATCACATAAGCTCCCCTCAACTTCGTTGAGGTGAGTTAAACACTCATGGACTTTTTGCTCAAAATTTTGATGTGATGAGTTATATTATATTGCATGTAAGAAAACACAAAAAATACCCAGTTAAAAAAATATTCACCACCTACGTTTTCAATATTCTAATGCAAGCATCTGTAAGCTGGAATGTTGTTTTTCGCTTTCTTTCTATTAGTTTTTCTCGAAGAGACTCGAGTTGATTTTTGAACACAGCGACCTTTCGGGTTCCCGTTTTCATTTCCACTTCATGAAATAGCAATTTGAGTTTTTCTTCTAATATGTTGTGGAATTCATCGTAGATAACACTTTTGTCGGCACTAGCTTTAATGACATGAGACTGTGGACAAAAGCGTTGACGTTTAAGCTGCGCTTCTATTTCGTTATTGACTTCTGAATCGACAACGAAAAACAATCTGGGGGGCTTGACATCTTTCACTGCTTTCCGAATTTCTTCAAATTGTACCTGTTTTATAAATGAATATATTTATCAATTTCTTGGAAAAAACAATAAATATTTATATTATTTGAAAGATTTTTCTATAATAATAATAATAATAATAATAATAAAAATAAAACTTTATTTAAAGAAGGTAACCTGGTTAGTGCATGCACTATTCTTCCCCAGGGCCCTCTATACATCAATTACAAAAAGATACAAGATACAATTCATCATATATAATAGGAAATACAATCACAAATTACGAATACAGTGTCCATGTACACAAATATGACAATACAGAAATATGACGATCATAAACATATGCTCAAATAATTGAGCGACGGCTGATAATGTAATTTTCTACATTACGTTTAAATGCTTGTAAAGATTGAGAGAGTCTAATGTATTGTGGAAGTTTATTCCATAGATGTACACCTGAGTACTGAAAAGAGGTCTTGAATAAGTTTGTATGAAATTTTGGTAATTTAAGATCGTAATTAGTTTCAGATCGCAGGTTATAGGAAGTTGAAGAATGAAATTCAAATAAATTATGAAGATATTCGGGAGTCATTCCGCTGAAAATTTTGTATAATAATATGTATTTGTACAGATCAACTAGCTCATAAATAGTTAACCATCCAAGTTTCTCAAATAGTGGTTTAGATGAAGAATCAGGACTTGCATCAAGAATAATCCTTGCTGCCCTTTTTTGTAGTTTAAATAGTCTGTCCATGTCCTTCTTAGGGGCATTACCCCAAACAGTCAAACAATAGTTAATAGATGGTAAAATATAAGCATTGTAATATAGTTTCCTGGTATGAAGAGGGAGAAATTTTTTAATCCTACGAAGAGTAAATAACTTATAATTTAAAGTTTTACAGACCGAATCAATATGATTCGCATACTGTAACTTATCATCAATATGTACACCAAGAATTTTTTCAGTTTCAACCATTTCAATTGTTTTGTCTGAGGCATAAAGTTGTAAATTTGGATTTTCTAGTTTTGATTTTCTTTGTTGTGTTCCCATTAACATACATTTCGTTTTATCTACATTTAATACCATTTGATTTTGAGCACACCATTTCTCAATTTCACAAAGATCTGAATTTAGTGTATTTTCTAAACATCTTGCATTATGATTATTAGAGTACAAAGTAACATCATCAGCAAACATATCAATATTTGAATTGTTTACATGTAAAGGAAGGTCGTTTATGTACAATAAAAATAAAAGTGGACCTAAAATTGACCCTTGTGGTACTCCTGCTGTGACGGGTAGAGTATTGGAGACACATGTTCCAAATTTAACACACTGGGTCCTATTGTAAAGATACGATTTAAACCATTTTATAGCTGTTTGGTCAAATTTGTAATGGGTTAATTTCTCTAGAAGAATGTCATGATTCACCAAGTCAAATGCTTTACTAAAATCTATAAATGTAATTCCAATTAGTTCACCACGATCCATTGCATTAAGCCAACTTTCTGTTAGTTTTGTAAGGGAAGTTTGACAAGAATGGAGTGCCCTAAATCCCGACTGGGATTGTGTTAGCAGATCGAATTCATTAGTGAAATTTTGTATTAGCTTCGCTACATGTTTTTCTATCAATTTAGATACAGTTGGTAGAATAGAAATAGGACGATAATTATTCGGGTCAGCTTTGTCACCTTTCTTAAAAATAGGTGTTACTTTGGCTTGTTTTAAATTTGTCGGGAAAATACCACTTACTATGCTAGCATTAACAAGATGAGTTATAGGTTTACATATATATTTAGATGCGACTTTCAAAAGACGCGGCCCAATAAAGTCAATGCCAGCTGATTTATTGACATTTAGAGAATTTAACATGTTAAAAACTTCACTTTCCTCAATTTGATGAATAGTAAAGAAGGTTTCCTCATCAAGCTTAGACCTAACAAAATTACATAATATATTAGGATCATAATCATGTTTTGGCATTTCCAAAAGAAGCTTGTTAGAGACATCTGTGAAGTGGGTATTAAAAGTATTTGCAATATCCTGTAGATTATCAACAATTTCCCCATCAGAAAATACATGAGATGGAGTTATGTTCTTTGAATTACATGTTAATTGATTAAGATAGTTCCACATTTCTTTGGGATTTGAACTCTGTTCAATTGCTGTTTTATAGTAAGAAGATTTTGATTTGTCTATAAGAAGTCTAACTTTGTTTCGATAGAGTCGATAGTTCTCCATATCTCCTTCTTTGTGGTAAGAGTCACGTAAGTGTCTAGCATTGTTTATTTCTTGTGTCAACCATTTAGGACGAATTTCACTCTTTACTCGTTTGTTTTTAATCTGAGCATGCTGATCAAGTACGCTATTGAATAATTCATAGAATTCAGTTAGTATTTCATTAGGGTCATGCAACTGGAGGAGAATGCTAAAGTCTACATCTTTTAAGTCTTGGAGGAATTTATTTTCATCAAACTTTTTGAAGTCTCTATACTGAATTTCTATGTGTTTTCCTTTTTGTTGCATGCATTTTGTTTTTCAAGTGGCACATATTGGATAGTGATCAGAGATGGCTATAAAAGGTTCATTTACTTCACACATGTTATCTGGTTTATTGGTGTAGAAGTGATCTATTAGGGTACTTTAGGTATTAGTTACTCTGGTTGGTGCTGTAATTAATCGATAGGTAATAAGGAATAAGCAATGAAATCTGTTTAAAAATTTTTGTATTTATTATTTGCTTCAAAATATACATGTTATATATCTCCAAATTAAGGGGGCTCCCTATTTGCTTCTTTTTCTTTTAGGAAGTTGGCACAGACTCTCTGAAAAAGTTTGTTAACTCTTCAATATTGTATAAGCAGTAACTGAAATATGTATTCAAACTCAAAAGTCCATTAAACAGTCAGCATTAGACTTGATGATACATTTATCTATATTTGCCTACAAGATCACTGTGTCGAGCATAGAACTTACAAAATGAATACGTTCATTTAGACTGCAGATATTCTTGCTTCATCAACTTGTTTCTCAATACCTTACCATTCCCATTAGAAATTGTTTATGACATTCACTTCCGTATGACATCAACTAAGAGATTTAAACTCCATAAACATGTCTAGGTGACAAAGGTACAAATTATGTATTCAATAGTTATAATTATATAAAATACTTAAGGAGTATAAAAAAGGGAAGATGACAATTGAAAATTCAAAGTTAAAGGCATCACTTTTATCATAGAGTTTGATTGTAAGATTACCATTAACGTCTTTTTCAAATTATCCAAAAATGTCTTCCTTTTCAATGCATATAAAAATGCATTATTTCCGGTACGTTTAAGTAATAAATATTTCCTTTCGTACTTAAAACAAAAAGATACACATCAAATTTCTAAGGGAGGTAGAGCTTTTCATTAGCATTTTACTCAATTTTATTCAATTTCTACATTCAAAAGATTAGATTATTAAAAATATTTATTAGCAAAACCTACAAGTTCCCTTTCTCCCCTTACAATCAATGTGCTTAACTGCAAAATAATTGATATAAATATAAACCAAGTTGCGCATAAATGTTCTGTTCTTTTCAAGTTAAACGACTGATCAGCTATAATAGTTCTCTTTGGCAAGCCAGTCACTCGTGACACATTATATAATCTCTTTTAATAGGAAATCTATACATCCACACTGTTCTACTCTGATGGGAAATGTTGATAAGGCAGAAAACTAAATATCATATGACATGAAAATCAATAAACATAGTAAAATATCAATTTGAATGCTTGCTTATCGCATCGCGATCAAGCAGTTTTTGAAACTATTGAGCAGATCCCTTATCATGAAATCAAACTCCAGTAGGAGTCCATACTTCATAGCGCAAACACGATCAAAGATATACTAAACCATGAAAACAAACTTCACAATTTTTTATAACTTTATGTCCGTTTCGACATTTTAAGATTTTGGATTGCATTCGGGTACATAGTTGTATAAGTACAATAATGAAGAAAAAATAAACATGCCAGGGTACGAGAAGAATGACTTTAATCAGTATTAGCTAAATTTATATGTGAATTTGAATCCTTTTCTCCTTTTCCTGTAATTGGGTTACATTAAGTCAACTAGGTGATCCATTGCTTATCGCGTTTGATGTGCACTAAAACTATTTTCTGTTTCTTCATGTTTAACTGTAGATGTCTACACTGTATAACTTCTTATCAATAAATGATTTTATGCAATTGATTAAAATTCATTATTTGGGGTAAAATGCCCTTTTTCGGTGAAATTTATTAATTTATATTTTCTGAAAGTTACAAATAATGATAGATGAAAGACAATTGAGGAGGTACATTGACCTTCTAACTAGTTTTGATGATCTGTACAAACATGGAAACAAAGCAAACAGCTTTCGCATACAAATACAAATGGGTGTTGCTAAAACTCTGAACGGAAAAAGGAATGGAAAGCGGAACGGAACGGAAAATTTATATCAGACTAATAACCTGTAGATTCGATATAAATCAAATGTAAAGCAATTTTTTGATTCGAAAATCATATTTAATCTTTAAAAAGTCGTAAAGTGATATATTCATGAATCATGCACACCCTCAGTAGTAGCACATGAGCATGCATATGTGATGGTCTACAGAATAAATACTTACATGACAAAAACCCTGAGTATCCATCTGTATATTCAATACAATTTTTAAAGAACTCATTCATAAAAACGATATTGTCTTGAAATATAAAGCAGAAAACTACATGGTACATGTAAGAATCTTGAAAGGAGACCACAGGGCCCACAGCAACTCCAAAATTGTTTTATTAATCTTATAAATATTTTTATCACTAAAGTTTGTTTTAATGGTTAAGTATATCCTTAATCGTGTTTGCTCTATGAAACATATGGACTCCTACTGGAGTTTGATTTCATGATAAGGAATCTGCTCGATAGTTTCTTACGCTGCTTGATCACGATAAGCTTATCATTTAAATTGATATTTTACTATGTCTATTGATTTTCATGTCATATGATATTTGGTTCTCGGCCTTATCAACATTAAATCAGAGTAGAAAAGTGCGAATGTATAAATTTCCTATTAAAAGATATTATATAATCTGTCACGAGTTATTAGCTTGGCTAAATTAACTAAAGAACATTTTTTGCGCAGTTTGATTTAATTTTGTACCGATTATTTTGCAGCTAAGCACATTTGATTCTTAGAGAAGAAAGAGAACTTGTAGGTTTTTCTAATAAATAATCTGACTTGGTGAATGTAGCAAATGAATAATATATCCAAGAAATGTTCTAACACCCCCTCTTAGGAATTTTATGTTTATCTTATTTATTTTAAGTTTACAAGGAGATCAAAATGATGTTAATGATGTTAACGTAAAGGAAACTTTGCATTTTTACAACATGTTTCCAATGACATGGTTCTAACACAGTTCTTTTAAATCACTCGAGGACAGATCATACGAACATTTTTTTTCTTTGAAGGAGACTTAATATCATGTCACAGGTTTCAGTATAAGAGGATTTTTCTCCTAAAAAATAGAAAATGAAATAGACTTGGAAAATATCAATAATATTTCAATGAATTACAAATGTGGACAAACACACTCGGTGGAGGTTTAAGTTGAAAACAAACTTGTAATGAATGTAATCTTGGCGCTAAAAGTGTAATATAAAGTTAAGAAAAATAAATCAAGCTAGGTGAATTTTATTCAGAAATGCAAATTGTTAAAAATCAGCCTATGTGATAATGCTGTTTTTTTTCCATTCTGTTTTTCCTCCTGAAATTCACCTCGCTTGATATATCTTTTAAACGTTTATATTACACTTTTTTTATTTTCCGATTCTTATGAGAAAAAAGTCTAGGAAGTATCCACTTTTCTAAACCTGTGTCATGATTTTATGTCTCCTCAAAAGAAAAAAAATGTTTGGATCATCTGTTCATAAATACTATGAAAATAGAATAAAAAGTTTTGGGGTATCTAAACTTAAAAGACATTATAGTAATCGAACAATCAATTTTCCTATCGGCAAATTTTCCTTACTTATGCAGCAATAAACCTTCATCACCTGCATACGGAGTTTATATATCTTGATTCGATACGCAAGAACATGGTCAACGTATGAACAATTTCTAAAAGGAGGTAAATTTTTGACAAACAAGTTGAAACAAGAATATCAACAGCCTCATTTAAAGTCATCATTTCTATGTTTTTGGTCGATACAATGCCATTGTCAGCAAATACAATTTATCATTGAGTCAAATGCTAAATGACGTTTTTCATACTAATTTACATTAATTTTACACTGAATTTACGACGGACTTTCGTTATTTCCTGATCATGACAAGGAGCACACCGTGGGTGTCACAAGTCGGCAGGGGATTCTTACTTCCAAATGGCGCCTGATCCTACCTCTGATGTTTTGAAGGTCAGTGTTTGCTCTGCTCCTTTTTTGTATTGAATTATGGACTTCAACATTGAATACTGTTCGTTATCGCCATATCCTTCATTTTATACTCTTGCTGGACATTTTCGGTTGGGTGAACTTCTACAGCTGATAGCGACTATGGATAAAGAAGTGTGGAAACCATGTTGTGCCAAAATGAAATAACTAATTCAAACAAATGAAACACATACAATCCAACCAATCAAAATGGTTTTTAGATGCATTCGATTCTGCATTTCGAAACCAAAAAAAGTTAAAAACAAAAAAGGATTCCATACAATATCATATTACATCTGCGCAAAAAACAAACAAAAAAAAAAACAAATGCCAAAACCGTAATACTATTAAACGATAAAATATATTCTTTATATATGAACCTCAGTATTTTTGACCCCTTGAAACTAACATGAATAAACTTGCAAGTATGTTATCAACATTGGCTAGGGCAAGTTCGAAAGAGAAATTTGGAGATTGGCTCTAAATCATCTTTAGATATAAATCTTGGCTTCAAATTCTGAATCGAAAGTTAAAAGTCGAGTACATTCTCGAAACGTAGGTTATAAAACTTACGATTACGTTTGAGGCTCAAAGCCGGCGTAAGCTTTACTACGTCAAATAAAGTACGGGGAACGTATTCCACAAAATTTTCGAGATGTTAGGAATAAATTGTTAAGAATGACAAATGAAATTCATGGTATTATGAACCTGAAGGGGGCGGTGGAGCCCACCTCCTTTATAATCATGCAATATATAAAAAAAATTATAAAAATAAAGCTACTCTATGTATCTATCCCGCACATAAGCACACCTGATGACTTTTTTGGCTCGTGAAGGAACAGACACGTAGCATCAGGGGGACCTGCTCCCCTAATGTTTTTAAAAAACTTTTTACTGTTAAAAATGTGCATTAAACATTGCCCGGCCCCCACCCTTCCGAATTTTTGTTGCAGTATAGTTAAAAAGGGTAATGTTGTAGTTAATGAATATAATTAAGTGATGAAAGATATTGGAACCTATTTTATATGTCAGGTTTCTTAGAACTTGATAATTCTTCTGACTGTTCTAACATCCCACCCCCACCCCTTTAAAAATCAATGCTCCCTATCCGAGTTAATTTTATATATTGGTGTTCATCAAAAATGCTTTCTTGTGTCTTCAAACTGGAATGATTCTTAAATGCCTGGAATTCTCGGACCAATTTTATTTTATTAACTCAACCTTATTTTATCTTTTTTAAGAAAGCAAGATTGTATGGTATGTATTTCATCTACATATGCGATGTAGTTCATGTTAAAAAAAACCCTTAGCGATGTTAGACAACATTCCATTCAAGGTGTAAAAAAGCAGTTTAAAATACTTTATATACTTTGCTTAAAGTATTCCTGTGCATAATGCACTCCATACTGAAGATCTGTAGTCGCTATTTTTTAAATGTTCACTCAACCGAAAATGTCCGTTAGGGACAAGTTTGTTCTCCATTAAGTTGGTCACTTATTTTAATCCTTATATGACCTATAATTAATAAATAATTGTACCTTTTCTTTCTTCCTTAAATAGCAAACAACAATACAATCTTCGTCTGGTGGAACTTTTTCTCTGTCTTAAAAGTAAATAAAAGTAAATAATTATTAAAATAGATGTATCAACAGAGTAAAACTGGTCGTAATTGTGCTTTCATATTAAACATATTTTCTTTGCAACTTATAATTTTTTTAGGAAGTTCTTTTCCAAATTTGACCTACGAATTGTGTGTTATTTGTTTGTTGGCATGGTTAGTAACAAATAAGAGGTTAAACCAGACGTCGTCTCTGTCGAGACTGTAGCTCTACTGGCTAATACTAATCTTATAACAAAGGAAGAGATAAGCAGTTGGGACTTGAAACTTTACAACAACAATAAATAGAACTATAAACTCTTGTTGCTACAGCAACAAAAACGGTCTTCCATTCTCCTCAATTTATCTGTATGAATGAGCTTTTATCTATGTTAATAAGGCATATAATATTTGAAATGAATACAGAAAAACAAATGGCCGGTAGTGTAACTTGCCAAGATTCTCGACGTTACTTTAGACAATTATAGTCTTAATAATTATAGTCTTAATAAAATTTACAAAAATCAATTTCATTTCTTTTATCACTTCCTGTGACGACCGGAAGAGACGGCTGACGCATTTTACCCTATGTCTGTTGCAAAGTCTTCATGGTTTATTATTCATATAAGTTTAGTGTCTTGATCTGGTACAGTTTAAGAGATCTCGTAATGTTAACTTCTCATTTTGAGGACAAGAAATCACGTGACCGGAAGTACTTTTTAAAAAAGATATTTGAGGTAACTCTAGACATTTCATTCTAAATAAAATGTCCTAAAATGTCCTAAGATCATTTCAAATACTCTTTTTCGAAAAGGGATTTTTGGGATAGTATGATATTAAATTTATGCAGTTTTCTCTCATAACCGGAAGTTGTCATTTCTGTTTCCAGTGACATATTTCAAAACTACAAATAAGATGTTATAATGTATTACTTAGAAAGATTCCATAAAGAAAAACTGAAATTTTTGATTTATTTGATCACTTCCTGTGACAACCGGAAGTACCGGCGGACAATGTCAACCCAAATGGATTTGCCTACTCATCAAGATCTACCACTCCGAAAAGTTTGGTATCTTAATCTCCTACCATTTACGAGATCTAACTATGGTAATATCTCATTTTGAGGAAAAGAAATCACGCGACCGGAAACGAACTTTAAAAGATATTTGAGTTTACTCTAGACATTTGCTGTTTGAATAACATATCCAAAAATCACTGCAAATACTTTATCTTTTAAAAGAATTAATGGGAGAGAAAAATACTCAAATTATGTAGTTTTTCTCTTGTAACCGGAAGTTGTCGTTTTTGTTTCCGTTGGGACTTATATATTTTGAAACTACAAATAGGATTCTATAAATTTATGAAAAAAAAGATTCATAAAAGAAAAGTTGAAATATTTGATTTCTTTGATCACTTCCTGTGACGAGGAATTCCATGCCTATATTATATCGCACATTATTTCTCCAAATGGGATCATTGTCTGTTTTTCATATGAAATGCATGTTGTACGTCTTTTTGAAACTTAACATACTAGAGTATAAAAAATCAGTTTATTTATAAAACCTACCTTCAAAATTTGTTGTCGTAGCATCAAAACCAAACAGATCCATGCATGATTTTTTAATGTTTAAAGGGTGTCCATGTAAAAGAAATAGTCCATCTGCTAGTTCACTGTCTTTTTTTAAAATCCATATTTCTTTCATTTTTCTCCAGATGTATTGGTATTCATCTGCGACATATTTGAAAAGATTGAGTTCTGCAGGGCCATATTCAAATGTGATGAAGGACACTTTTGGACTGTATAATTTGGATGACTCGCATGATGAACTAAAGGAAAAACGTATGTCAATTATAGCAAATTCAAACTAGAACTGTCCAAACGGGGCAAAATACCCCCGCTGGGTTTTTCAGAAGAAAGTTTTTCCATAAAAAAAGATATGTATCAAACACGAATTATGAAAGTTTTCTTCCAGTGACCTTGAACTTCCCCAAATGACCTTGGTTCATGGTCGTGACACACCCTTGGGTCATAGGCAATCTTTGTGTGAATTGAGAACCTACCAAGTTTATCCATAAGAAAGATATGGACCGGACATGAATTATGAAATTTTTCTACCAGAGACCTTGAATTTCTCCAAATGACCTTGGGTCAAGGTCATGACACACCCTTGGTTCATGGGCAATCTTTGTGTGAAATGAGAAACTACCAAGTTTATCAATAAGAAAGATATGGACCAGACACAAATTATGAAATTTTTCTTCAGTGACCTTGAACTTCCCGAAATGACCTTGGGTCAAGGTCATGACACACCCTTGGGTCATGTGCAATCTTTGTGTGAAATGAGAACCTACCAAATTTATCCATAAGAAAGTTTTGGACCGGATACGAATTATGACATTTTTCTTTAAGTGACCTTGAACTTCCCCAAATGACCTTGGGTCGAGGACATGTCACACCCTTAGGTCATGAGCAATCTTAGTGTGGACTAGTAGATTCTGTCTCTCTGTAAGAAAGATATGAACCGGACACGATTGCAAAGACAGACGGACATGCAGACAGACAGACGGACAAGGTGATTCCTATATACCTCCCTTCACACAAACTTCGTTTGCGGGGGGTATAACAAATACTTATTTTATACCTTTTGGCAACTTTACTTGTAATTGAATATATCAACTTTTATGACAGAATTTCAAAGGAACAATTTAGAACTCTGTCTACCCTTTTGTAAGCTATAAATTGTCAAGACACTTCTCTCACAATACCATACCAATGTTTCTGGGTATCCAAGTCCTATCGGTTTCATGAGAAATTCAGATTTTCGAAAAAAAAAAAACACGTCATATGGACTCATACGATGCAGTAAGTTTTTACACAGTAACCACTATGTTCATGAGACATATATAAATGTTCTTCTCAACTCTACTGTCACGGAAACATAATATTCTTGGCCGAGAAATAAGCGAATTGGAATAAATCTTGTGAAGTCTATTTTTAAAGATCTAGAACAATCATGAAAGTAATATAAAGAAAAATATCAAGGTCTGGTTTAGACGAATACAACAATTAAAATGAAATGTCAGCTAACAATAATATTAAATGTTATACCAGATACGTATACAAATATGGCAAAATTTCAGTCATAAGAAACTTAATATATAATTAATTAAAGATAATACTAATAATTTTAGACTGCTTTGTAGAGGAATATGAAAGTGAAAGGAGACTTTCTTTTTTGAAAGTTTTTTATATGCATGTAATGAAAATATCTGAATTAAAATAAATACTTACATATTAAAGGAAATTGAATACATGTATTATATTTGGTGTAATTCAAAGAAACATACATATAGCTAACATAAAATTCTCTCTTCCTTTACAGAAGAATTCTAATTTTTTTCCCTCTAAGCAGAATTATTTCCCTAACGGTGATATATACAACAACACATTGAGCTCAATTTCGTAGGTTAAAAAATAAAACTTGCATTGGTCAGGAAAGTTTTGTATTATATCGCGAAAGCTACGAGTTTATTCGCGAAAGTGCCTCGCGTTATTACGCTAAAGTTACGCTTTTCTTCGCGAAAGTTTCACATTATTACGCGAGAAAATTATTTTATTAACCTTTGAAAATGAACTCAATGGTTTTTCGTAGAATTAAGCATTATTCATAAAAAAAATTAAGTATTATTTCAGGAACAAGCTGTGAGTACCAAAACATATTACCTTGACTCAACTTTTGTGCATTTGTACGGAACTTCTTTACACACATCTGAAAAGGAAAAATTAATTATGTGAAAAACAAGAGGCCCAAGGGCCTTGAATCGCTCTTCTGATAAATTGTACAATCTATCACTTCTATTAGAAGCCTCCAACTCTATTAGTATCATAAGACCCAAAATGCATCAACTTACAAAGTTTGATGATATTTAGCCAGATAAGACTGAAGATATCATAATATAATTATCAAATACCATAAGTAGGTCAAAGTGACCTACCTTTTGATTGGAATTTTCTGAGGACTCAAGATACAATAATTGACAAAGACTGATGATTCTAATTAAGTAAGTACCTCAGATATTCAAAAGTAGGTCACCATGACCTACTTTTTGGTCAACATTCTCTGAAAACCCAAGATGCATCATCTGACAAAGTTTGACAATTCTAAGCCAATTACTTCCAGAAATAATTAAATATAGCCATCAAATGTCAAAAGTAGGTCAAGGTGACCTACTTTTTGGACGACGTTATCCTAACATCCAAGATGCCTAAACTGAGAAAATTTGCTGATTCTAAGCCAATAAGTACCTGAGATATTCAAAAGTAGGTCACCGTGACCTACTTCTTGTTGGACATTCAATGAAACCGTAAGATCCTCAACTGACAAAGTTTGATGATTCCGAGCCAATAAGTACCAGATATAATCAAATATAGCAAAAAAATGTCAAAAGTAGGTCACAGTGACCTACTTTTTGGTCGACGTTCTCCGAAAACCCAAGGTGCCTAAACTGACAAAGTTTGATGATTCTAAGCTAATATGTACCTGAGATATTCAAAAGTAGGTCACAGTGACCTACTTTTTTGGTCGACGTTCTCCGAAAACCCAAAGTGCCTAAACTGACAAAGTTTGATGATTCTAAGCTAATACGTACCTGAGATATTCAAAAGTAGGTCACTGTGACCTACTTCTTGGTCGACATTCTCCGTAAACCCAAGATGCATCATCTGACAAAGTTTGATGATTTTAGGTCAATAAGTACCAGAGATACTTAATTATAGCCACAAAATGTCAAAAGTAGGTCACTATGACCTACTTTTTGGTCGTCACTCTCCGAAAACCCAAGATACATCAACTCACAAAGTTTGATGATTCAAGCCAATAAGTACCGGAGATACTTAAATAAAGCCATAAAATGTCAAAAGTAGGCCACCATGACCTACTTTTTGGTCGTCACTCTCCGAAAACTAAATATGCATCCACTCACAAAGTTTGATGATTCTAAGCCAATAAATGCCTAAGATACTGAAATATAGCCATAAAATGTCGAAAGTAGGTCATCTTGACCTACATTTTGGTTGACATTTTTCAAAGACCCAAGATGCATCTACTGACCAAGTTTGATGATCGTAGGTCTGAAGGTAATCAAAATATGCATTTTAAACAATTTGAAAACAAATATCGGCAAAATTTAAAAAGTAGGTCACAGTGACCTATTTTGTTATAAATATGTTTTAAGGTCGCTAGATGCATCAAAGCACAAGATTTGATGATTCTAAACCTCCCAGTGTCTGAAATAATGGGATTTAATGTTTTTAAAAGGATAAGTCATAAAGTTCTAAAAGTAGGTCACAGTGACCTACTTTTAAGTTGACATTGTTCAAGGACCCAAGATGCATCAACTGACAAAGATTGATGATCATAGGCCTAAAAGTGTCCAAAATATGCCTTCAAATCAATTTGAAAACAAATCCCCTCAAAATTTAAAAAGTAGGTCACCGTGACCTACTTTTGAGTTAACATGATGTGAAGTCGTAAGATGCATCAACTTACAAGATTTGATGATTCTAGTCCTTATAGTAAGAAAAATATACACGTTTTTATTAATTGTAAATTAAGGTCAACTTTGAAGTGACCTTGAGACCACGCCCTTTGCCCCAGGGTCATGCCTTGAACAATTTTTAATCTTCAACATATTCTGATCCTTGTATGTAAGTTTGGTGAAAATCTGCCTGGTGGTTCTGGAGAAGAAGATTTTTTAGCAACCAGTACTTTTGGTTTTGTTTTCCTGATTATCTCCCCTTGTTTTAGGGTCCCAACCCTTATTTTAGTATAAATGGTAGCCCTTGGGCCAAAGATACCCTGTGACAAATTTGGTACTGATTGGCCAAGGGGTTCTTGAGTTATGGCCCATATTCTAAAAAGTTAACGCACACCGCACAAATGGCCATAGCATTAGCTCTTTGAGCCTTTGGCTCAGAAGAGCTAAAAATATTTATATGCCGACTAGAACATTTGCACGGACGACTTATAATTTTTTCCTCAGATAATTACCAATTTTAGCACGCTTTCTTGTTAAAACTCCATCCATGATGAAAAGCTGATGAATGATCTAGGGTTTATTCTCCAGACACCTTTTACTGGTAAAGAAAAAAAATCATCATATTATTTATGCAATATATTATTTCATTTCTAAAAATTAATTGCTTCTGAATGAAAATGTTTTTTTTTTAATTCTTTGATTACTGTATCAATGGAAATTCGCTTGCACTAAGCAGCCGGAATTATTGAATACTTTTACTTTGATAGATATTTCCCTTAATTTTGTCCGTTTCCTGACTAATAGTCTACTTTCTTTCATTTTGAATTACCACCTCGCTAAACAAATCAAAAGTCTGCATAACAACAATACAGTTAGAGTAAGAAGGCAATAAATCTGTTAAATGTTTGTCTTTGAGATAACTGGTATGAACAATAGACTGTGAAGAAATTTTTTTTATGCTACCACAGCTGGGAAATGCCGTTAATCTTTTAATTCTTTTGAAACAAATGATAGTCATTTTGAATTTCAGCAACGTGAACGTTAATGTGCTATTTTTCGTACGCGCTTTTTTATGCGTAAATTTATAGTAAAGTGAAAGTAATTAAAGTTAAAGTTTAATTTTATTAATTTAAAATCATACTGGATGATAAGAAATTAATATTATATTTTTTTTCCTTTGACCGGGCATTGATGAGGTTTTCCGTCCTATTTTCAAAGGAAAGATATTATATTCGTTTCCTAAATCAAATAATATAAGCCTTGGTTTTTTAAATTGTCATGATTATTTTTTACGATTTCTGATCTGATTGATTTTTTAAAAGAACGTTCGATATATCTAAGCACAGCTGCGGTGTTAAAAGGTGATTCTCGGTAGCTAGGCTTAGGACTCCCATATTTAAATCAACCTATGAAGATGATCGAGAAATTGATTATGAGATCACGTTACAACTATAAAAAAAATCGGCTCATAAATATTACCAGTTATGGTTTAATTTGATACATACTAAAATCAAGTGTTTTAATTCCCATGAATTATAAAAACAAAAATTAAAATTGGTGTGTACCTAGTTCAAGTTTGGTTTGTAAAGAAGATGGGTGAACAAGGCGGGCAGAATGCCTATAGCGTCGGATATTAAGAAATCATATTCAGTATGAGATTTGAGTATTTAAATTAACTTCTCATTATTTAAATTTATGAAATTATGAAAAAAAAATTCTGAGAGAAAAAAATCCCGTTAAAAAAATTTATTTTATAAAAATATAAGATGATATTCGTGGGATTCGAACCCCTAGCAATAAAAATCTGACGTGTTGTACTGCTTCGTCCGCCTTATCCACCCATCTTCTTTGCAAAAAAGTACTTTTTTGTTAGCTAAGGGTTTCTGATATGCTCCTCTCCTTATAAATCATTTGGCTACCGCAGCATAAACAAGAGGCCCAGGGGCCACAACGCTCACCTGAGCACATTGGCTAGGAAAAAGCACATATCAGATCAGAACTGAAAGTTTACGGGGGGGGGCTGAATTTTAACCCCCCAGGGGTTCATGATTTGAACAAACTAGAATCTACACTACCTGAAGATGATTCCATATTAATATTTTATGACACTAATCATAGCTTTGAAGTACTTGAAAAGATGATTTTAAAAGGTTTCCCTATAAATCCCTATGTAAAACTTGGGTGAGCCATTTTGGCCCCACCCTAGCCCCAGGGGTCATGATTTGAACTAACTTGAATCTACACTACCTGAGGATGCTTCCACATGAGTTTCATCTTTCCTGGCCCAGTGGTTCTTGAGAAGAAGATTTTTAAAGATTTTTCCTATATATTCCTATATAAAACTTGGGTCGGCCATTTTTGCCCCACCCTAGCCCCGGGGGTCATGATTTGAACAAACTTGAATTTACACTACCTGAGGATGATTCCACATGAGTTTCATCTTTCCTGGCCCAGTGGTTCTTGAGAAGAAGATTTTTAAAGATTTTTCCTATATTCCTATGTAAAACTTGGGTCGGCTATTTTGGCCCCACCCTAGCCCCGGGGGTCATGATTTGAACAAACTTGAATCTACACTACCTGAGGATGATTCCACGTGAGTTTCATCTTTCCTGGCCCAGTGGTTCTGTAGAAGTAGATTTTTAAAGATTTTTCCTATATATTCCTATGTAAAACTTTGGTCAGCCATTTTGGCCCCACCCTAGCCCTGGGGGTCATGATTTGAACAAATTTGAATCTACACTACCTGAGGATGATTCCACATGAGTTTCATCTTTCCTGGCCCAGTGGTTCTTGAGAAGAAGATTTTTAAAGATTTTTCCTAACTATTTCTATGTAAAACTTTGGTCGGCCATTTTGGCCCCAACCTAGCCCTGGGGGTCATGATTTGAACAAACTTGAATCTACACTACCTGAGGATGATTCCACATGAGTTTCATCTTTCCTGGCCCAGTGGTTCTTGAGAAGAAGATTTTAATAGATTTTTCCTACATATTCCTATGTAAAACTTGGGTCGGCCATTTTGGCCCCACCCTAGCCCCAGGGGTCATGATTTGAACTAACTTGAATCTACACTATCTGAGGATGATTCCACATGAGTTTCATCTTTCCTGGCCCAGTGGTTCTTGAGAAGAAGATTTTTAAAGATTTTTCCTATATATTCCTATATAAAACTTGGGTTGGCCATTTTGGCCCCACCCTAGCCCTGGGGGGTCATGATTTGAACAAATTTGAATCTAC